TTTCGTAAATCAGAGGAGGCTCGGATATTCTTACGGCTCGGTGTCGATATTGGATCCCCGGGGGGTAACGCTCGCTGTTAGCCTCCGTCTTCGCTTGGACTCCCTTTCGCGCCCCCGTACGACCCCTCTTCCGATACGCCAACGGGATTCACCCTCGAATTAAAAGAGCAGCCATTCCGACTGCCTGTCCGCCTGCCGTCTCGCTTGGCAGCCTGCTGGTCGCTCCTGCTTGCTCCTCCAACCCTCTTCCATCCCTTTAGCCTTACATCTGGACCCGGGTCCGCGCGGCGGAATCTCGTGAACGCGAGACGGAGACAGAGAAAAAAATTGAATGGATTTTGGGAACGGATCCCTCTTATACACCGCTCGAAAGGATCTTTGAACTGGGTCAGGACTCGAACTCTACCTGGCGTCAACCTTCAGGGGGAGAGCTAATAATGATGGACGGAACCGATCCTTTGGAGTAGTCGGATCCAGCAACGGTTCGAGCAGTTTCCCTCTAACCGTGTCCCTAGGGTCTCACGGGGAAGCAGAGCCACGGATAAAAAGAGACGCTATTTTCCAGATGTTCTTTTCCGGCTTTACATATTTGCTTCCTGAGTATTTTTATTAACTCGTTGACTGGTGCGGGAATATTCGTTTTACGTATTGGTTATTCTGTTGTAGCAACTATAAATTGAACGAGTTATTTCCTGCGAAAACTTCTGTTTCATTTGATACAGCTGAATTATAGAGTCTTGTATATAATATTATGCTTTGTATGATGCATCGACACGTGTTATATAGAAATAGCTTTGTTTCTTAATTTACAAATATTTTCTTAGCATCGAAGAGTATCATTTAGACCTCATCGGAAAACGTTGAATATTCTCGGTGATAAATTTTCGAGCGTCAAGGGTTAAGAGTAGTGATATTTACAACAACCGACGCCGCCAAAAATACGCGAGAAGAGATTTCCAATTGTTTCGAACCAGCCTTTACCCTCCCTTAAGTCACGAGAGGAAAACGCGCTCGATATGGATTACAGCCCCGCGGTGATATTCGGGTTTCCACCGGGTTTCCCCGGGTCGTCGCGACGGCTAGGTATCTGCACCTTCATCCGGTTCTCTTTCTATTTTCCCCCGGTCCCTTCGCTTTCTGTTTTCCTACGGTGAAAAGCGGGTAGCAGCCGACAACCCTTTGTTACCGTGCCTTATCTTAATTGCTTTCACGGGTTCCCGTTTAGATCAATACACACCAGCGACGTTCCACCGGCGCTCCGCCATCGCGCCGCTGTTGCCGTACAACGGCTCCGCTCTGGCTCGCGAATCTAAATTATCCTAAGGGCTGTTTCGACCAGGGATTTTCGATTTTCTCTTTGTCGTTCCTCGCCGGTGCGCTGTACAGCGCACGGAAAGCCCTTGCATATTTCAGGTTCACTCTCTACGCTTGTGTGGCTGTCGCAATCGAAACTGGTTTTCGGTCGATCTAATTTATCGTTGCCGGCTCTCGCGCTATCGACTGCGCGGCATTTCGACGCGCGAGAAATTTCATTCCGCGCGCAACATTTGCAGACGTGGATATGTTTTCGCGATTTCAGAAGTTTCAGTTATTCAAGGAAGACAGGACAATAGAGAATTTATGTTAAAGTTTCGTCGTCATTACAGCTAGCTTCTCTCGGGATCAAAGATGCTAATGCTTTCCCATGAAGGTCACCGATGACCGGCGCTTTCAAATTGCTTCAAAACAGTTACGATATATAAGATTCATATCGTATAAAAATATTGAACAGCGTAAGTAATTAAATAACAGTGTAACGCAAGAATTTTAATACCGAACAATTAATAATTTATCCTATTTATACACAAAACGTTCAAGATTCCCGTGGCAATGAACGCGTTAAATGACTTCAGTGTGCGGCAGACTAGTCTACCGTGTCGCTTCATTGTCTGTTATCGCGGTACCGCGTTGGTCCACGCGGGATGGATGCAACAGGGGTAGAAAGTTTCTTCCGGAAATTCGTGCGGCCTGATGGAAAACGGGGATCGGTGAAAACGGTGGTGCACGGGGGAGGGAATGGACGGAGAATTAGTCGTGCAATTAGCTCGATCTTCAACGGGGTGTCATATTAACGCAGTTTCGGCCGTTAACGACCCTCGAAAACGACGAGCGTTACGTTGTCGCCGCGCGGCTCGTATACATTTGTATGGCCGGTGTTTCACGCGGGCCCGTGGCTGTTGTGACGAATACGCGCCCCGACCGACATGAAGCAGGGCGAAGGAGGGGAACGGGAAAGAGAAACGCGTAGTGCCGTTCGCGCGATGCGAACGGAGAGAGGAAATGATAGAGCGAGGGAGGTGGAGAGGGGTGGAATGTACAGAGCCGGCAGACCGTCTCAGTCGTAAAATGTTAACTGCTAGTAAAACTGAGTTTACGTGCTTGTAAGGACCCCCCCAGGAGGTTAGCAGACCCTGTGCCACGGCGACATGGTACCAAGGGCCTCCCCTTACCCCTTAATAGCCAGATTATTGCCCGTAAGCCACCCCCGATTACTTTCTTCCGCTCGATACCCGAAAATAATTTCGGCGGAACGCTTAATTTCGCGGCAGGCACGCGTCTCCGCGTCTCTACAACTCGCGAGCCACCCCTTTTCGGTGGCGGGTGTCCGCGGACTTTCGATTTCCGGGGCAATTTCGCGCCCCTCTTGCGACGGAGCCGTCTCGCGAGATCTTCTCCCCCGAAACGAATAAACGAGAGTGCCGTGGATGGCTCACGGGCCTTTAACTTTCAATGGAACAACTTCTTCCGGCCCCGGTATCGCCATAAACGTACGTTTTATTTCATGGCTGAACGACGCGGACGAAGGTTTTTCATTTTTAATTATCTAGTGCCCCCCTTCCGCGCGAACTTCGCGCTACCAAAGTTTTTTAACGATGCACCCCTCGACCGTTGTTAACCCTTCTCTTAAATCGCGAGTGCTTTCGTTGTTTTAAGAATTTCAGTGCTGCTACGTTTTATTTGGAAATATCTGGTGCATCGATCAATTAAGTTTTCGATCTCTATAGGTACGGATACTGTTAACTTTCTTGAAAGAAATGATAATTAGAATTTAATGTTAGAAGCAAAGACGCTGGGATTCAGAGTCAATATCCTCTACCGATGTCGTCCCTGAAGGGTTAATTTTACGTGCCTCCGGAGTGCGACTGTAAAATTGAAGAGGAGCCGGCAACTCGGTCGGCAAAATTGTAAATCAGGTTCCCGAGGAATCAGCGAAAAGTTTCGCGACGATTCCCCCGCGTAGCGGAGGAGAGATTCATTAACGGGCGCGAGGGGCACCGACAACATTAACGTCTTCCTCGAAGAAAACGGTTCCCCAGCGATCGACTCCGCGTCTTCACCCTTCTGGCCGCATCCCGGAGGAGCCTGAACTCCAACCCCTTTGCCGTGGCGCCGTCCCTAATTGTTACACTTCGTATAAATGCATTAGTTCCGCGCATTCGTTTCACGCTCCCGCGGATCCCGGCGAACTTTCACCCCCCCTTCCGCTATTCATGGCCGGCGCGCCGGCTCCTACGCGTCTCCGGAGACCTTTTTTTCGCCGGTGCATCGGGAAAAAGTTCTAACGAATTTAAATTACGGCTCGAATAACCGCGAACGTTAATTAATTCAACACTCAAATCTCAGTCGAGGGATGCGCGCACGGTTTAAAGCGCGGTGTCGGCCATTTAACCAACTGCCTCGCGTTAGAATCCGCGGCGAGACTTCCAGCGGTCGTTTCAATTAATTTAACACGAGCTGCCGCAGTCACCGATGACCGGAGCTACTGGATTGCTTGGCAACAATTAGAATAAGATTTTTATGGAGATATTTAGTGATTCGTGTAACTAGGTAACAGTGTAAGAATCGCGATGTCATATAATTAGCGCCATTTATCTTTGCTACGAAGGAGTAAGTAATATAAACAGAATAACGCATACAGAAGCAGAAAAATACGATATTTCGTGGATTCTTCTAAAGTGAAGATCATTCCATTCGCTGGGCTCTTTAAACTCAGCCGCCGCCGATCAAACGGTAACCGCTTCGGTCGTTTCTTTTTTCGAATCACCGGACGAATAATCGGTAATCCCACAGGAAGTATATCTCGCGGTAGTTTGCTCGACTTTCCCGCGCTGTCGTTCATTCCCCCTCGGCGTGTGCTCACTCGCGCGTGCACGTGTTGGTTTTATACACACTCGCGGAGGGTGAAAACTGTCGAAGACCGTGGCAGCGGCGGGGAGAGCTGCATCTTTCCGCGAGGAACTGTCACATGGGATGGGACGTTGAGAGAAGAAAGGAGAGAGGAGAAGACCCTCGCGCTGTCTGCGGTTTTATGGGTCGTCCAGCTCCATCATGCGCCGTAAAAGTACAATAAAACCACTGTTACACCGCGGAAAAACCACCCCCTGTTCTAAAGCACTGCGTGCATCGGCCTTTAAGACAAAGAGAACGAAAGGGTCTGGACCGGGGAATGGTGATCCAAGAGGGTACACCGAAGCAAAATTGATTCTTTTACGATCGGTAAACGTGCGACTTTCACTCGACTCGCTCCTTCTCTCTCTAACTTCAACCCTCTCCTTCGATTCCCGTGGTTACACACGACGCTCCAGGGTTCGCTGTACTCGTCCGAGGAGAATCGTCCTCGTGATTTCTACGGCGTTTAACCCTAGTGACCTGGCTGATACAGGCGCCGTTTGGGCTCGAAGTTTCAGAGTCCTGTAGTTCCTCGTCTCTTAACAGTTGAAGTTCGTTAATCCGTCAAATGAAGCCTGAATGACTGAACACAATGAAATATATATAGAAAAATAGTATAGAATAACGACCTAAATGAATTTAGTCATTGATGGTTGTACATATTTCCAGTATTTCCAAATGAAGATATCAGTAATGAGCCTTTTTAATAGTTAAATAGCTCCAGCGTCAGAAGCAACCCTTTTGTCAATAACCTATCCATAAAACTAACCATGAACTTTTATCTGTTTCAGTGCTGTCGTTAAGGAACACTCAGGAAGAGGAACCACCCGATCCGCAGCTAATGAGGCTGGACAACATGTTGATCGCGGAGGGTGTGGCGGGACCGGAAAAGGGTGGTGGAGCGGGAGCGGCGGCGTCGGCCTCGGCGGCCGCGGCGGCTGGACCACCTGGACAACCTGACAACGCCATCGAGCATTCGGACTACAGAGCGAAGCTCGCCCAAATTAGGCAGATCTACCATCAGGAACTGGAGAAATACGAACAGGTTCGTAGCGAGTGGGGGGAGCAAGCTGATCTTCGTCGGTCGAAACGCGATATTCCCCGAAACTCGTGGAACATTCTCGAATGGTCGGGCGTAATCAAATCGAAGAGGCGGTTTCGTATGCAGTTTTCGTGTCGGATTTTTTCTTTCATCTCTCTCTTTCTCCCCCGTTTCAACCCTCGAGCGGCCCGATAAGAGACCAGTTGGTATACCTGCGAGCTCCTTTCTCTCCCTTTCCCTCATTTCCTCCTTCCCTGTCGAACAATTTGCGTGCTAATGAACCTACTCGCTCGCGCTAAGTAAAATCTCGCGTGTCGAGCGAGCCACTGCTGTATCGCGAGCCGCGGATCTCTTTAACGCGAGCAAACCCCGCGGGCTATTGTGTTCCCCGTGGAAATTCGACGGAATTCTCGACTCGCTCCGACTAACGTGCTTCTTCCGCTAACTCTGCGAAACGTGTCGTCTCTTTGGTAACCGTTCGTTTTTCAATTGGCACGTTATTGCGGCGTTTCGACATCGTTGCAGTTGGATTCATCAAGAGCCAAAAGAATTTATAGTGCTCTTCATTTATAACAACTGCTCCCGAAAAAATGAACCTTAACCATTTCATATTCTAAATTTAAATTTTAAATTTTTTAATTAAAGTAAAATACCGTTGGTATAACTCTTCTATTGTACACGGCGTATTCTCTAAAGCCTTAAATGAGCATGGTCCCTCTGAAAGCGAATCTGCTATTTTCTTTCAATTTTATTCGGATCGGTTCATATTCTACGATAGTCGAAAAGAAAATCGCGGAGTCCGCGAAACGGCTATCGATCAGTGAGCACGATACCCGGACACGGTCCCGGGCTGTTTTGCATTTCCAGTTTTCGTTATTTTCATCGCGGTGTAATTCAGCTGCGCGTCCGGGACGCCGGCGGCGTGGCTCGAACCGCCGACCGCGTATTCAATTCCTGCTTATTAATATGCGCGCGATTGAAATAAAAAGACCGGGCGGGCGTGTAACACGCGAGACACATACGCCCGCTCTACCACGACTCACTTATCAACGATAAAAGCATCATTCTTTTCAACGCCCGGCCGCTCTCGCGGTTTCTCTCTTCGCCTCCCTCTTTTGCGTGTTCCTCGAACAAGAACGATGAATTACACGGAACGTCGAAACCTCTCGAACCTGAAGAATGCTTCCAGTTCCCGGAATTCGAAACTTAGCACCTTCAGCGTTCTGCTACAAAAATCCGAATTAGTTGCTCCCGTTACATTTCCCTTCGTATTTTTCCATGCTCGATGAATATTCATGCAAAAATGTTGGCTTCGGTTCTCGAAACACGATATTCCAGTTACCGAATGAAATCAGCATTTCAAGTTTCAAGAGTTTCGAGTTTCAAAGCTTTCAAGAGCTTCGAAACCTTACGGAGCACCGAATTCGAATTTCGAGGAATTTAAAATTCAGCTTTAAACCCACCCCTAGAAAATAACGATAGCTCGTCGTTCGTTCGTTCGTCCGTTCCGTGCGTTCGCGCGTACATAAATACCGAATCACTCGCGCACACACTCGCCAGTCACGAGAACAGGGTTGGAGGGGGGCAAAGTGAGAGAGACAGAGAAAGAAAGAGAGAGAGAGAGAGAGAGAGAACGTTCGGGTTTAATTGCCACACCCGTTTCGACCCCATATTTCACAGTGTGTCAGCGGTCTTGATGTTTCCCCGCAGCGGATACGCACACCATTGCTGTTCGAGGTCCACACGGTGTGTGGACGCATGCGAATTTCTTTGTACGCGCAACAATATCGGAGAGGCAGTGCCTCTGGGTCGAGATGTATGCGTTCGCGTGTACGCCGACTGTGAAACTGCAGTTAGGGGGTAGTTGACGCCCTATCGATAAACCCGGCCCATTAACAAGTTTTAACCCCGTTCCTTTCTAGACTGCCTATACTCAAAGAGAAGCCCAAGGCACTTTTATAACGAAGCGTGCTTTGATTTCCTCCGGTATACCCTTTCTTTTTTTCTTCTCCCGCAGGTCTCATCACTTTTCCTCGCCGCGTACGCATCGTTTTTTATCGCTCGATCGCTCGATGCACACGGCGGGATAGCTCCCTTTCACAGAGCGCGTTCAAGCAAGTTCGAAAGGATAGAGGGAATTTTTCCTGTGCGTCAATGCAAGTGCCGATCAAGTTTTACACTTCAAATTAAAGTGGGAAACATACAACAAGAAGTTAAAAATAGATTCAGTTCAATTCTAAATATCTTTATCGGTACTATGAATCCTGGTGGCGATTATGGGAAGAAAGAGCTATCACTTGCTCTTAGACAACAAGAAAACGATGCCACTGATACAGTCACCTGTCAATTGTTTCATCAATCTTATATATTAATTAGGTAGCAGAATGAACGCTTAGATTTCCAACGTTGCAGAACGTTTTCTCCTTCTGCCTTCTATTTTGCTTCGTCCGTTCTTCGTTCATTCGAGTCTACCATTCGTATCGCGCGGGCACGATTGTTATTTAAATGAACACGCGTTCTCTGGACGCTCGGAGTATTTGGCGAAAGAGAGGGAACGAGGGAGAAGGACGGAGGGCGAGGTATAATACTCCAGTGTTTCGGGTAGCCGGGGTTTCGTGAATATATCGCCACGCTTAAAAGTAACGATATTACGGCTGATATCGTCGCGGCCAAAAGTTTTATCATAACCGAAATTTACTATTCAAACTCGCGCGGCGGCCGGGGGCTGCCCCGGACTCGCTGCATTAGGGTGAACGTCTGCCTGGCTATGCAAAATGGCGTGACAAGTACGAGAATAGAACCGCGCCGAGTTTTACGAGATCGCGTGATCACCGCCAGCAAACATCGTCTGGCATGAATTTTACTGGTGCATGCCCGCCTTTATTTCGTCCGATTCTCAGTCCAGATTTCAACCGGCTCGACCGCCACCGCGGCTGTGCATCCGTTGCCGGGCTCCTCGCGGACTCGCGGCGTCAGTGGTCTTTGGTTGAACCGCGGATAAGTCCCCGTCATTTCCTTTCCCTCCTTTTTTCCTTTTCAAACACCGCATCGTTTAAGTTTATCGAACTTTCCTTGTGTATCTTCCAGATTTCTAAGTTGTAGACATTTTAGACTTCAAACGCAGGTTTTTAATACCCTTCAGATGAAAACTGTAGCTTTCGTAGTAAACAAATCCCAATTTATGGCTGTAAATCCGAGTTATGGTTTTGAAGATGATGCTGTGGATGCTTTGTTGTAAACTAGGGTTTCCTTTCAATTACAGTATGTTAAACGAATGATATACTTGTTGATACTAAATAAAGAGTTAATGAAAATCACTTCAACCTATAGTTCATCAACAAGAAACGGGTATAATTTCTACCACACCAAGTCTCTGCTCGTCTTGTCGATAGTTTAAGGCGCTGACGCTATTGACCCTTTGCAGTCGAAAGTGTATCACTAGATATGTTCAACATTTTCTCTTGATATAGACGGCATTCTTTAATACCAAGTAAACATACATAATTTAATAAGAAAGCTACTTCGTTTCAATACTTCACGTTTTGATGCATTGTACAAAATTTAATATTATATATAATATAATATAATATAATATAATATAATATAATGCATTCCCGAGTGCAAGGGGTTAATACAATGTTTCGGTGGAAGTAAGTTATTGACGATATTATAATGTTGTGTTTGGTTATTCTCATACAAATGTGTAGAGTGAAGAAATTATTTTATTGGCACATTGAGAAAGAGAGTAGAGCAAAGTGAAAATTTGGCAGGTTCCTGTACGGCCCAGACTGATTAGATATGACTTCTATATATTTCAAAACTCTGAATATGATATGTAGAAGTTTCTTCTTTTACCTTAGCTTTTTATTTTAGATTTTCTAATCTAGGAGTCCTAACATCCATCGCCTCGATCTACCCGTGAAAATCGTCGCTCGAACGTTAAACGCGGTTACATAAGAAAGGAGAGCGTGTCGTGTGTCGCGGTAACCGCAGAACAACCGCGGCGAACGTGTCAGCCGCGCGACCAGGTATATTTAGCAGCGCGCAGGTTGGAATTTCGATAACGCTCGCGAGCCAGAAACCCTCCGCCGCGTCGCTGTATATCCACGGGATACAGCGTGCAAGTATTAATAGACCGAACCGCAGTAAAATTAGAGGCGCCGTAAGGAAACTCATTTCGCGCGGAGAGCACGGATTAACGACCGCCGACACTTGTTGGCTTTTGCCGTGAAGATGGACGGGCATCGACAACGCGACACGTTCCAAGAGTTCCCAAACTCTTTTATTCGTGGTCCAATCGAAAAGAAGTGAAAATATTTTCGCAGAATCTCGACAATCCGGTTTGATTGGGAAACTAACAGTTCAGATGAATGCGGATTTGAGAGGACTCTTCGAAACGTACTTGTAAAATCCGATTGTACGCATTCCCAGGTGCAATCTAAAATTCTGAATGATTGAGTGTCAATGTAATCAAGACACTTCAGCAATCTAGATCGTGAGAAATAGCCGGTTAATCGAGGTGCTATTGTACTATGAAATAACAACGTGGGATCTCTGCGACTCATTGCTTCATTCATATTCTAGCAGTTCGTCACTTTGACTATACCTCCTTCGTCAATGCTAGACCTTCGGTCATTCCGTAAAATAATACCTGGTTCCAACGTATCACTGTTCAGCGCCGAATCCCGTCGCAACTTCGTCATATCCAACGGCGCAATCGCGAGAGGGACGCTCAGTCGGTCAAGCAATAAATTTTTAATATCACTGGCCGGCGATCGATCGATCCGCAAATCCGAAAACTTATTGCCACACGAGTACGTGTCTGTTTCCGCATCGATTTCATCGCTTACTCGTCTCCCACCGTGGATAGAGAGGATTAGACGTCCGTCTTGCCCGCGTCTCGCGATTCGCGGTTGATCTGTGCACCGCGTTTGTGTCGGCGATAATTTAAAAATTGGAGAAAACAACGACGGAGTCGGGGTGGGACATAATTCTCCATGGGTTTTCCATCCAATCCACCTACTCGAGATCGTCTCCAGCCCCTCGGCCCAGCTACCGGCGTGGCAGGAATGAAGCTGATCCGCCACCCTACCGAGAGAAAGAGAGAAAGATACGGTCCGTGCGAACGGTGGAGAGATAGAGGGAGAAAGAGGAAAGAGAAGAGAACGAAGAGAAACGGGGGTTAGGATAGAAGAAAGACGAGGAGAGTAGCATAGCATGGCGGCAGAGTGGAATCCATTTCGAAATTGCGAGCCACCCCGTCCGACCTCTCCCCTACCGACCTCTCTTCCTTCTAGCGCCTTCCCTCAGGAAAATCCACCCTCCTCAAACCCCCTTTTCTCTTCGTGCGCTATCTCCCTCTTTCTTTCTCTCTTTCTCTGCCGTTCCTGCTCCGCTCCCTCCGGAAGGTAGCGTGCTCGCCTCGAATACTGATATCGAGCAAAGTCCTTTTTCCCTTAAACCGAGCAGCCACCAGGAATAATGCATTATACGTACGCGTCTTTCGTCTCGTTCCTCCAGCCACGTTCATCCCCCTCTTCCTCTCTGTTTCTTCGTATATCCTCGTCCTTCCTCCTCCTAGTTTTTTTGGGCTTCGTCTCGACTCTGTCGAGCTCTCGTTTCGCGAAGATGTAACAGGAACGTCTATGATCAGCAACTTCAGTAACGCTCTTTCTCCACGGTAATCTTGAACCGAAGTAGAGAGGACTCTCTTTCAGATGGTCAATGTTTTCTCGATGCATTCCGAAAATTTCGCTTATTCGACGGGATCGTGAATCTTGATCCATGCTTGAAATTTTCGTCGATTGAAGTTAGAAGAGATATGAGTAGGCGATACTATGGACAAGTAGATAAATGGACACCTAGCTTGAAGCCTGATGTGATCATTAGTTCTTCTGTATATTTGACGTATTGTTAAAAAAGTGGATATGTATTGTCTAACTACAGTTTTCTTTCACTATTTTCAAATCGAATAACATACATGACAAAATTAGAACGTGAATATGTAAGAAATACTTGAATAAACGAAATAGCGCTGAGAGAATGAACATGTGATTGAACTAGGTAGACTCGAAGAGCATAGAAGGTTTAAAAGCCATAAACGACGCGTGTTTAAACGGATCTCCGTCTCTGTTTCAGGCGTGTAACGAATTCACCACCCATGTAATGAATCTACTGAGGGAGCAGAGTCGCACCAGGCCGATCACGCCGAAGGAGATCGAGAGGATGGTACAGATCATTCACAAGAAGTTCTCGAGTATCCAGATGCAGCTGAAACAGTCGACTTGCGAGGCCGTCATGATCCTGAGGAGTCGATTCCTCGACGCGAGGTCTGTATTCATCGAAAGTTACCTCGGACCCGGTGTTTTCGTTGCTCCTCGTCAATCTTAATTCCCGCGCAACTAAAAGACTCACGGGAGCAAGAGAGTTTGGGGTTCAACGACAACGCGGGCGCCTGGCTGTAAAACGGCGCGCGAAACTTTCCTTCTGTTGCAGACGCAAGAGACGGAACTTCAGCAAACAGGCCTCCGAAATCTTGAACGAATACTTTTATTCGCACCTCAGTAATCCTTACCCGAGCGAGGAAGCCAAGGAGGAGCTCGCGCGAAAGTGCGGTATCACCGTGAGTCAGGTAAAAACCGGAACGAAGTTTCGTTCCGCCATGATAACTGGAATTTACGCTCGCCGAGGAATTAAGTGACGACCATTATCGGCATGCGGTTATACACGGTTTATTTTTGATCGTTCAACGGATAAATAGATTTGAATGGTACACCTTGTTTCTGAAACATTGTTTCTAACGCGGATTTCGGTTTGAAATATCGGAGTCGAGTAGCGTTTCTTGGCGGAAAAATGGTAAAAGCACAAGCGTGATCATCGGAGAATCGTGAGGCCTCGTTGTTATCCCGGTACTCTTCTCTGCCGTAGGTTTCCAATTGGTTCGGCAACAAGAGGATACGCTACAAGAAAAACATAGGTAAAGCACAGGAGGAGGCGAACTTGTACGCAGCTAAAAAAGCGGCTGGTAAGTTCCGTCCTTCGCCAAATGAGCGACGGGTGTTCCTTGACGAGTTCGTTTCGATAACTTAAAAAAGAAACCGAAAAACAAAAAAGCCGAAGAAAAAGAAAAACGAAAGTAAGCATCAACGACTAGAACCCCATTAACTGAATCCGAACGGCTGTAAGAGGCTCGGCGAGGCGATATTCGATCTGAAAACTTTCGATACTCCGCTTGTGCATCGCCGAGGAAAGAACTCCACACGATCGTGCCGGCCCTTCGCTCGCGTTTAATAGTACCCGGCCCACCTCTTCCGACCCCCCATCCGTCGCGTAATCGTTTATGCATCAGAAATTAGGACGGAGAAGAAATTGCGTCGCGTGGCGGTTCTCATTACTGTAAATCATTACGCGGCTGAGTTACCGCTCATTGTTCGGCTTCGCTGCGCCCAGCGTTATCGCGGCTGAACGATAAATCTTCCGCGCGAAGGGAAAGAAATGATTCACAGGGATCCGCGATCCTCTCTCGCGAACGAGAAACGTTTCTCCTACGACTTCCGATCCTGAATTCGAGAAACAATTCTGATGGTTATGGGATGCTCAGCATCAGCCAGCTGGCTAGCGTCAATTCCAATGTTTAGGGGATACTTCGTATCCAACAATTATCCAGCGACTATCCCAATGTTTAGGGGATACTCGGCATCCTGTAATTGTCTAGCGGTAATTCCAATGTTTAGGGGATACTTAGCATCCTGTAATTGTCTAGCGACTATTCTAATGTTTCGGGGATGTTCAGCATCCTCCATTTGTCTAGCGACAACTCCAATGTTTAGGGGATATTCAACATCCTCCAATTGTCTAGCGCCAACTCCAATGCTTAGGGGATATTCAACATCCTCCAATTGTCTAGCGCCAACTCCAATGCTTAGGGGATGCTCAGTATCGTCCAGTCGTCCAGCAATAACTCCAATGTTTAGCAATTCGAAAATAGGGGATGCTTCTGACGAAGCCGCATCATCTCCCGCTGTTCGTTCCCTGTATTTACCTTGCCGCGCATTCCCGCGGAAATTAGGAGAAAAATGCCGGGTTGGTTTTCTCGGAGAAATTCCTGGCATTCGCGGGACTCGCCGCTCTCTCGCAATTACGCGCGCACTTCCCTTAACTACCGAGGCGTTTCTTTATTTTAGAGAGCACGGCCAGATATTTTTAACTTACCAATTGCGCGTCGGAGGAAGCACGGAGCGATGGGGACGCGGAGGAGAAGAGGGTTGCTGGGAAGGGTGCGGACGAGATGCCGGAGTTCTCGCGTTTCTTTCGACGCCCAGCGCGGAACGCGTGGGCGCGCGCGATTGTGTGTGTCGGTCTTTCCTCGGCCACGCTTCCGGTGAACGCCGCTAGTCGTCCCGTAATTAAAGAAACGGAATTCCAGCGATACCGGCGTCCGGGACCGGCATTTTCGCTCGACGTCGCTTCTCGCGTGTCGAAATAAAAATTGTTCTCGCGTCGCTGCCTCGCGCGCCCGAGCTAATCGTCTCTCGCAGCTTCTTCGCTGCCCAATGATGAATTCTTCGTCGCCTCGACGATCCGTGATCCACGTGGAAGTGAGAAGCCATTCGTTTTCTCTCACGCACCAATGGAAACCAATCGAGACCGATTCTTATCGAACATCGGACACTATTCAACGATACATTTGCCGGTCTAGATAATCAGTGGCGGTCGCACGGGAATCGCGCGTTCTAAATTCTCTGAGTAAGTCGGGGATAATCGCAGGAAGAGAGACCAGTTTCGATATTTTCAAATAAGATCAATTTTTATATTAAAACTACTAGGTGTAAATGAGCTATGAAATCTGAAGAAATGTACTTTTGTTGATTAATAATTGTTCAGTAGTTCCACGGAAACACTATCAACGTATCCCAGACTTACCCCTTCTTCAATCCGTCCACCGTTGTCCGCGTCTCTGATTCAAACGATACCGTAGTTTCTCGCAAGAAATCGAACGCAACGCCACTGGTTACCAATAGGAACGGATGCAAAACGGGCTGGCCCGAGAGAGAAAAAGAGCTTTCGAAAGCTCGTGAGACGGACGAAATGTATCGGTCAGGCGGATGAACTTAAAAGACGCACCCTCGAATTTTGTATGCACCGCGATTGTTTCTACAGCAGCTTTTGCAGGAGCGTCGCCGTACAGTATGGGTGGTGCAAGCCAAGGCACCCCGACGCCGATGATGTCGCCGGCGCCTCCCGGCGGGCCGCAGGACATGGCCGGATACGGGATGGGCATAAACGGTAGCGACTACGGCTCGCAACCGTACAACGACGGCTCGATGGGCTACGATCCTATGCACCAGGTAATCGTCAATGCTTCACTCACCACTATAGATTTTCCCCGTAGTCGGCGTCAATTGCCTCGCTTTCTTCAATATATATACATATATATATAATTCGTATATACATCCCCTATGCATTCTCTGAGCATGTGCTGGATTCTTTTCTGATAACGCTTGCTCCCATCGGAGTTTCGAGGGACCATATCCTTCTGGCTCGAATTGAATGGAAAGAAATGAAGAATCATCATATACACGCGGCCGCGGTTTCACCGGAACTCGCCGAGCGAAAGACAACGGAAAGCAAAAGCTTCTTTCCTCTTCGCGATTGTATGAAAGAACTCTGTCGCAGCACTCGATTTCCATCCATTTTCAAGCCGGTTCATCTCCGTAAAATGCATGCGCATCTCACCGCATATTCACACATCTTGCGAGACTGGACGTTTGGATAGAAGAGCGCGAACGAGAGAAAGAGAGAAAGAAGGAGTGAGAGAAAGAGTGAAAGAGAGAGGATGAGCAGGAATGAGGAGAGAGGAGACGAGAGTGGGCAACGGTGGTGGATGGAGAGGGTGTGCACGCAGCATCTGTGAAATTGAGTTTCGCGCTCGCGCTCACGGTGCACGGTGATTTACCGCTTGAATATTAAATATTTCGAGTACCCTTCGCCGAGATCCGCGGAAGTGTAAACGTTTCTTTGACGGGATTCTTAAGATTCGATGGCCTTTAGCTGTTAACTTGAAAAGTTAACGAGTAGACTTTTCACTTTTTAACCCTTTGAATGAAAGAATCTAACTGTGCAAACATCAAAATTTCAGTACACAATTTTCTATGCAACAAATTTTAATATTTTCGGAAATCCTCGTTCACAATATTTAAGCTTGCTCCAGATTAAGCTTTTCGAGGTTACGTTCAATCCTATCGGAAAATCAACCTTGCAGTTAAGCGATCGGACCCGATCGGTGCAACACCGTGCGCGGAGCGCAGCGCTCGAGCGAATGTTTCGTGTGGGGTCTAAGGATGCGCTCTCGCGTGTCTCTAGACGGCGAGTGGATGAGCGTGTTGCGTTGGAATATACATTGGATATAGGGCTGGGTTAGATGCGCTGTTGTTGGCCCATAAAGGATGGACTTAGAAGGGGGCGGTCTGGGTTAGAAGCCGGGTAGAGGAGCGTCAGGTTTGCGCACGCGGCGAACCAGCAGCAGCCGGTAGCATAAGGGTTGCTTAGTATGCATTGGAGTTGCTAAGTCACTTTTTAGGTAGGGCTGCTCTCTCACATATTAATGGACTCTGGTAGGTGCGCGGCCGTGCTTCTAACGAGCTGCCTCTATTCGGCCGGTACGAAACGCAACGGAACCTGCATCCTTCGGAGATCCAATTTCCTCGTGTATCCGACACGGACACGCGCATACAAAGACGATAGAGTCGCCTTGGATCTCGTTGCTACGCTTCGGACGGCTCTCGACTGACTAAGAATTAATCCTTCAAGGATGTCGCCCAGTTCCTTGTTTCTTTGGAACTATTGTTCTTTTACATATATCACTGTACTGTATTGATAACATAGATTTCTTGATGCTTCTAATCTTTAATTCTACGAGGTAGAAGATGACAGTTCAGTAGATGAAGAAAATAGAGTTAATATATGATTCATATCTTTAATTCTAGAATTTGAAAAGAATGATAATTCAGTAGATTAAAGAATGAAGTACCTGAAAAGTTAATTGGCTTCTTGGCTCGCGTGTAGTCCCATTCTTGAAGAACATAGCTGTGTCGAGGGTTAAACGAATGAAACGGTGCATCGTGTCGGTCTCTAGGATTCCTCGAAATCGGTAAATCATTCCGACATGCAATTTCATCGGTGTCATGCGGTAAAGAGTGACGGTTGGATTAAATTCGCGCGAGAACACGCGAGACACGGGGTTCGTTCATGGCCAGCTTTCGAATGTTCGCTGCGGTATTTCTGATTCGCGGATTAAACGTTCGTCTTGTCGATACACGGGGACCGGTTGTCGATACACTTCGCATCGCGGATATTGCTGTGCGCGTTACACACGGTTCGTTCGTCGCAAAACGCGTTTCGAATGCTTCGCCTTTGATTAACCCTCGGACGGCACGCCTCTTTAATGATTTCGTTGATGTATCTGGGACCATTTGAATCCTCGCTTATTGATTCTTCTAGACTAATACGTCCACTTCTAATCTGGCTCCATTTGAATCCTCGTTTATCGATTCTTCTAGAATCTAATATGAATATCTATACCGTGGATCTTTGCATGTTAAATAACGAAAAATAAACTTCAATGAAATATCCAATGGAATTACTATTTTAAACGAATTGTAACTTTGACTAAACGTAACAGTTCATACAAATGAGTCTTCAATCTGTAATTACAATACATAATTACAATTTTTGGAACCAATCCTCAGCAACTGAGGCTCCGATGATCGAAACCGACCACGTTTCGAATAAAACGCTTCTCGCGGTCGTTCCTCTCGATCATCTTCCTTCATATCGTGTTCCCATTGCCTCGGCGCCTTCTTCATTACCGTTGCGTTTCCGTAAAACCGGAGAATCCGCTAAGAGAACCTGTAGAAGTTGGCAAGAAAATTAATTTCGCGGTTCATCCGGTTTAGCCGTGCACGGTTGCCAGGCCCCAAGAGTGAGAAAACCCGGGTGCCGAAATGAAGCGACTAAAATGCATGCTCCTACCTTAGCCGCCGCCGCCGCCGCCGTTGCGTTTTCGGATCGCCTCCTCCGACACTCGTTTCGTTTCCCGGGTTCGTTTTCCGTTCGGCTACGTCTCGAGGCTCTCGCCTATTCTTCACTTCCTTCTCGTTACCGTCGAACGTCGAGGAATTTCCTCGAGTCGAAGTGCAGCGGTGATCGTTAGCCCCGCGCTCTCTCAGCTTTTCGTTTCGAATCGCCGCCGATACGCACGTGTAACGAAACAAATCGAGTTTTCGAGGGAGAACTTCGAGAACGATAGTCTTTCGACCGCGCGACGGTTCTTCGTTCGCTATTGATGCCATTGGTTTGTTGCTGGACGTTCAGAATTCGGGAAAATCGGGCGGGCTCGACGACAGTGGCTCTGAACAGCTTACGCTACTCGTGAAATCGGTTTAGGTTGGCGCGAGTAGGCGCTGGTAAAAGGAGAGTCCAGTCGGAGATACGATGAACGCTCTCGCTGCTGCAGCTGGCACTAACGTTTCCGTAATCGCATACACATAACAACCCAAACAGAGCAAACAGAATTACAAACAATTGCTTGCACGCGGTTATACGAGCACCAAAAGATGTATCCTCCTTCCGCGCGTCGGTCGATCCTAACACGCGCCCGTTCGACCGGCCGTAATTCTCTCCTCCAAGTTTTACTTAACTCTCTTGTCTCTTGGTGTTTCATTTTGTTCCTTTGTTTTTATTTTTCTTCATTGTCCATTTATCTAGTTTTGTTATTGTTACATTTGTTGTTTTATTTTTCTTCTTCTTGTCGCAACACCGTTTCCTAATCGCTGCTGGTACTACCTGCCGCGTCTAACACGACGAAATCAACGAGAAGCAAAGAACTGTGTTTGTTGCAACGGAAATTGAGGCGCGAAGTGCCTAACAAACGGGTGCTCGTGCAATTTCCATCCGTGCGCGTGTTTTCCTGTTCGCTTAGTTCGTTTTCTTTTTCCTTTTGTTTCGGCCCGATACAGCGAAAGAATTAAAACTGAGAAGGGCTCGTTGGTTCCGGAACCTTTTTCTTTTTTTCTTTCGACCCACGTTTCGTTTCCGTTTCTTTTTTCTGTTTGGCTGAACGACGAAACGAGAACAAAAACAAAAAGACGAAACGCGTACACCGACGGCTGCGCTTTTTCGGGCGCATTGTCACAAGCACAGTTCACACGGGCCCCGGCACCTTGTATAATACCGTTTTCGATTGGTCGTCTGTTCTTTGGTCTCTTCTATTTTCCGTCATTTTACGAACACGCGCGCGCGATCTTGAAACGCGATCTTCGTCGACGGACCGTCCATCCCTTTACGCGACGCAACACAACGATCGAATCCGAGATTCGAATTCGAACCTCGTTGACACGCGACGCCTTCTGCACTGGTAAACTCGTTAACCTCTTCGAAACAGAGAAGCAAGCAGAGGCGATTTTAATCATCGATGTAATGCAAAATCTAGAATTTGAATCCAACAATGAAAGATCAAAATACATATAAATTTAATTAAACACTTAGAAAAATTGAAATCAAAATAACAATTTCCTGCTTGATAGTTCGAAACATCGAAATTGGTCTGCTTTTCTTAATTTTCAAAATGTCCTCGACAACGTCACATCTATCTCCCAAAATTCTCTATATTCCGCGACGAATGCGTATCCTTAAAGAGATTCAGCATGGATCTCGGTTCCGCGTTTCCCTTGTAAAAATCGCGTCGGTCAAAGAAGATGAACGGTCCGTCGGCTCGCGAGATCGGCCCGCTCCGTCGAACGGAGCCGAAAGCTGTTGATTCGCGTCGCCCCGTTTGAATTTACTTGAGTTTTTTCTCTTGGCGCAGATGAAACGAAATTCTTAGAAGGCGACAGAGAGTGAGCTATCTAATAAAAAAGAACGAAAGAAAGAGAGAAAGAATAGAAAAAATAGACATCTAATCAAAGTGCACAAATTAGAAAGAAAAGAAAGAAAGGAAGGAATGTCTAACGATGAGAGAAAGAACGACACGCGCGTAGACGCGCGAGGGAAAGCAACAACGGGAAAAGCAGGACGTGACGAGGGAGAAACGATAGAAAATAAGACTAGAAAATCGAGGGTTTAAGATCCCTCGGCTCTTTTGCGCTTCCTGTTCGCGTCCGTAGCGAGCCGGTGTCGCGCGAAGCGCAAAGGCCACCTGTCCTATATACTCGCCGTCGATTTTCGTTGGGCGTGCAGCTTTCCCGAGGGTGAGGGAGGATCGTTTCTCGCTGGGATTAGAAGTCGACGAGCCGGCCAGTGGATCTCCAAATGCTTCGTTGCAACAAGCACAGCTCTCTTTCCCTCGAACGGAACTGGAGCCGAACGTCTCCCACGAATTTCGAGCGAGAAGACGCGCCTCTAGGCTTCGTGTTCGGTCAAACTCGCGGGCGCGCAGCGATCGCGTCCACCTTCGTCGATAGTGCAATATACGTTACAAGGACTCGCGAGGCGGCGTTTTCATCGACGTTTCGAACCTCGATTTCGATCGTCGCTTATCCGCTGCGAAGGAACCAGGCGAAAGATAACGTTGCTGGTCACCGCGGTGCTCGGTACTACAGCGTTCGTCTTCGAACTGATCTGTAGGTGAAGATCTCGCCGAGTGTGCAATAAGATTTCGATAGTGGCCCTTCCAGTGGCGAGGGAAGCCTTGGGCAGCTCGTTCGCCAGGTTCTCGGGTCGGGAAGAACGCGCGGGGATGCGTGCCGATTCGATGAGAAGATGCAGTTTTCGCGGCCGTGTTTTTAGATTTGATTAAGGACGTGTACTTCTTTGTTGTGTACAGGTTTCGGTCTCTTCGGATCGAGATCCGAAGTATCTGTATGTTTTTAACGCTAGAAGTACCAAACAGTCAAATGGAATGGTCTGTATTTTATTGAAATTTGAAGAGCGTTTATTGCGATTTCAGTTACTCCTATTTTGGAGTGATTATTGATATATTAAATTTTATATATTAAAGTATATATTAGATATTAAATTTGTTTGATATATTAAAGAAACCTTTTTATCCATAATCCGTCTGGTGGTTCTAGCGTGATACGAGAACGTTTCTACAGGAAAAGATGTTTTTCTGAAAGGTAGCCGATGCTAGTTTTGAACGGAATATAGCGTATTTTCATCGCAGCGATATCGAAGGAAAGATCCGTTTTTATAGTAGAATTCGATATCTTTTAGAGAAATATTCTTTTATCCGGGAAACTCGATCGTGTCGTTAAGAACATCGGAGATATCTAAGGTTCCAGTTCGAAGTGACTCACCCTGTATAATAGCATGCGAACTCGAGCAGACGTACGGTGTGGCGCGTTCCTCCCGTGGACCGCCACCACTATGCAAATGCATCCTCGAAGAACGCACCGCGCGGTTTCCCGTTGCTCTCGTATGGCCATCGATACTTAATCCTGGAGTATTTTTTACAGGCAGTCCCGCGGTATACCGTGCAACACGTGCAGTCACACGCAAATATTCACGCGCACGTATTCTTACACGTCCAAACGTAACACGTATCCGCGATGCATAAAGGAATTAACGCAGGTCAGGAGAGTTGTTCACGGATGAATGATAGATCATTCGAAAGACATCTTCGTGGCATGCATGGCTGCACGTAGAATTTAAGTTTATATGTGTATCATGGTTCTACGCAAGTAGTACGTGTGTGCGTTCATCAATATTCTTTTATTCTCACGTTTTTGTTTTGTTTTTTTATGTTTTTTGTTTTGTTTCTTGTTCTGCGGGTCGATTGGCTGGGGTTTTTATTATTGGGTGAATAGATAAAAGGCGAGAGAAAGACAGCGAGGATCAGAGAGAAAGAGAGAGAGAGAGAGAAAGAGAGAATGGAAGAGGTGAGATGTGAAAGGGGACGGATGACAGAGAAACTTCATTATTTTAGTTCGTTGTGCAGAGTTCTAAATTTTTCGCGTAGACAAGTAGAGAATAGGCGTTGGTTCCTTGCATTGGCGGATTGGAATGAAAGGATTTTCTGGTTTCATTCGGAGCGTTCGCGCTCCTCTTCCGCCTAGCCATTCGAAATCTGTCGCCCGGAGTCATCGCACCGAAGAAATCCTTTCACGCTCGTAACGGGAATCGACGCACATCCCGCGAAGAAAGTTGATTAATTTTTCCATAGGATGAACAGTCGCCCGGGAAAGTCGATGTCCCGGTACGAGCACGCCGGCCAATCCAAACAGCCCGCGCTTAAGTTAGACTCCGACACTCGCGTCTCATTTTCTTGATACGGTCGAACCTCGTTGAATGGGATCGCGGGGGAAGGGAGGAGATCGTCGAGTCGTAGAGTAAAAGAAGTTTAACAAACGAAAATTCGACTTGCAAGGGTTTTGTAAGAAGACAGTAGAGTCGGTGATCCTATAAAATTGACTTCTACGCAAAAGCAACTTTCGACTTGTGAAGGTTCTTCTCGGTTCGTGTCGTAGAAAACTTTACGAGTCATGGAGGTTCGACAGTATTTTTCTCATGTATATCGCGAATTCGAGCTAGAACACGACAATGATCTGTCTGTGCTAACAAAAAAGTGCGTAAAGAAAGAATGAAAAGTAAAGTCAGTAATATAGTAGAATGAAAAGAAAGACATAGAAAGAAATTTGTTGTGACGAAGGCGAGGCTTAGCGACCGACGAACACGCAATTTTGTCGCCACCAGTTGGGGATAAAAGAGCGCAGACGGGTTA